CCAACACATAAACCCCAAGCCCTGAACTCTAAACACCCACTCCTCGACCCAACGCCCCGATGCCTAAATTCCAATACCGCTGGGCACCTGGACAACGAAGCAGCGCGCCTCCCTGAGTTGCTGTGAGCGTGGGATGATAGCCTGTGGCTTCCATCTTCAGGTGGATCATTTCATAAGGACAAGGACTCACGGTTTTGGAAAACGGTCCCCTCTCTGAGTTGCTGGAAAGGTTAAACCTCCGAGCGCTTCTTGCGTGCCTTTGCTTCAATCCGGCCTGTCGCACGACGTCATGCGTTGTCGAACGGCTGGGATCGAAGTGACCCATACCTGAGATGCTCTTTGCCTGCGGCAGTCTGCTGAAAGAAACATTGTATCTCTCCTAGTCTAGTATGACAACACGGCTGAGACCCCAAGCTGCCGGAAGCTAATCCCAAGATACCCTGAGACCCTGGGCGGAAGAATCCCAAGCTGCAACCCAGATACTGCCGTGCCCGAGGCTCGCATAGAAGTCAAGCAGCTGGCGGACTGTCATTCCACGACCTTCTCTCTAATTACATTGTAGGTTTTGTGGCATAGGACCGAGGTTCAGCATGTTCAGGCCGTAACCGTAGAAGTATGAGCCCCAAGTTTGGGGGTCTTGCTTGTGGGGAGACGCCTTTCATGTTGTACGCCCGATATGTCGCCGAGGACACCCTACGCCCTGAGCCCTTTTTGCAACAGACATGCTTGCCCTTGATGGCTCAGGGCCCACCAGCTCGTGCTGAGCCCAACCCCTGAACCCAATCGCTGAACCAGCAAACGCAAGACCGTAAACCTTCAACAGTGAACCTTATACTGTTGTACTCTTACCCTAGCCCCAAACCCTGAACCCTCGACCCACCACCCCAAACCCTAACCCCGGAAACACTACACCATGAGTGACGTGGCAGACACAGCCTGCGAGCTCTTGGACTTTCTCAAGCCAGAGCTTTGAATCACCTAGGTGCAAGGATTCCTGTCTAGGGCTTGCGGTATTTTACGCTTGCCATGCGCTCCCAACTGCATGGCTATACATGGGGAAAATTAGCGACCTGCGCGGGTTTCAGACTTGGGGGTACCGGTTTCGAGTTTAGCTTGAATCACATCCACACTTGCGGAGATCAGGGCGCATGACTTAGGGACTCTGGTCTTTGAAATCTAGCTGTGAGCCACCTCCAGACTCAGATGTTGAACGTGGGACGTCGATGCTGTCAGCACCACACATGGCCAGCTCGGTGCCCAGGCTCGAGAGCAAGCATGCAATCAGCGGCACGATAACAATTTTTCCTTTCATCTGCTTTCGAGGCCAAACAGCAAGAAACAGATCTCTTTGCAGACCTCATAACAACATGGCGTAGGCTCGAATTTTGGAAGCCCTGCATGCCAAGCCAAGCTTCGCAAAATCACCACTGCGCAGGTGAACATCCACTTGTACTCATCTGCCTCCGCCAAGTTCGCCAGGAAGGCCATGATGACCAGAAGATGCAAGAGTGAGAGAGCAACGCTGAGCACCCAAAAGCCGGAGTCCTGGAGGGGTTAAGGTTTCAAGTTTAGGTTTAGTGTTCAGGGCCTGGTTGTCGAAGGTGGCATGTTGCTCACGCTCGTTGATGTTTGGCTTGCGTTTGTGCCACGCAGTGACAACCAGTATCACCTCTTTTGACAGTCCTTGCAGTGCCTGCGCCAGAGCTGCCAGCGCCGATGAGTGGTGTCCTCCTGAACGAAGCTTCGCCAAGCGAGATGACTTTCCAGGCTGCGCGGGAGGAAGTTCAGGGTCACGGAAAGCCTGGTTCATGTTTGGATAACCACTAGAGGGTTGCGCTTGCCGTTTACTGTGTGTTAGTGTTCCACACAGTGGAAAAGTTGTCACTCGACCAGGATTTGGAATTTCTCAAAAGAATCCTTCCACTATCACTATCACCCTGCATATCCCGAAAATTCCCAGGCCACCCCTCTGACGAAAAATAACTGCTCAACAATACACGTAGGAACAGGGCCACGAAGGTGTACCACAGAAATGTTCCTTGCTCGATGGGGCACTCCGAAGGGCTCCTGGCAGCTACAGCCGAGCCATCCACCGAGAAGAAGAGGGCCACGAAGGCCAGGGATCCTTTTCGCTTGGCTTGGCGTTCGTCTAGGGCTCAGAATGTTTGGGGCTTAATGTTTAAAGTGTACGGTTTCAAATTTCCGACTAGTGAAGGCCAGGATCCAAGAAGGCAATCCATGATGATTTTGGCCCTCTTCGCCGCTGTCATGTGCAAGTCGCACAGGCAGAGCTCGTAGATCGGATGCGTCGTCACCAGCGCAGTCTGCAGCCGATGCCAGCGGAACTCATGCACTTTGACAAAGGCTGACGGCAAGCCCTGCTCCATCTGCATCGCAATCTCCTTCACCACCGGGATTAGAAGGGATCATATACCGCTAATTCGCCTGAAAATTACACTAGGATTCTGCATGCCATACTTGCTAAGCCCCTATACTTTAGATCTCCTTCATCACCGTAGACCTTTGTGTTGCTAAGCTGCCCTGGACCCAGCCACGGGTACCCCAGATATGCATCTCGATGGAACTGTGGTGCAGCTTGTGCCTCCTCGCAACCTGGATGGGCGTTTCTGTAAAGTCGGTCGGCTGCTCCTCCACATCCCCTAGAAAGCCAGCCGTTTTGATAAAACAAAGGGCTCATAATTTCTTGAAGAGAAAGTCCTCAACTCCCAATGACGCAGAATTTTGAGCAACTCTTACCTCCCACAAGGCGTTGCGACAGATGGTGCGCTCAAGCAGGCTTTTTCCCAACCTTGGCTGCGCCTGTCGGAGCAATTCCTGCATGTGCACATCGGGCTCCATCCCTGCCTGAGGTTTCTTTCGTTCTGTTGGTTTTTGTTGTTTGTTTTGTGTTTTTTGTTGCGGGACGGTGCGCGGGTTGGGGTTTCAGGTCAAATTCCCCAGCATTCAGGGGTGCTGGCTTCGCATTTCTTAGGTCTCAGGGCTTCATTGCTTTCACTTATCTTCTTTGGTTTAAATTANNTCTACGTGACAGGAACTCGCTTCACCGTTCGTTTCTTTTGTCCTCTTTCAATTAAATAAAACATGCGTTCCTTATTTTTAATTAATTGAAAGAGAAGCAAAAGACTCACTTCATAATATAAAACCAAAGAGTGATGAATTTAAATTGAACAAAAGAGAAACAATGATTGAATGAAGAGAAAGAAGCGTGTTCTCTTTTGTTTCAATTAAATTCAGCACTTATTTCGTTCATGTGTGGTCTAATTTAATAAGAGAAAACACGCGTCACTTGTTCCTTGTTTTTCACTTATAAAATCCACCACACATTCTCTTCATATTTTAGGTGTATCATGTGAGGAGATTCTGAAGGCTTAGAGATGTAATTAATATTCTCCTGTATCATCTAATGGTAATATGACTTAGGATCTTAGTGGTAATTCCAACTATTATTCTAGGTGGTTCTATCACACAAAACTTAGTTGTAATCATATGGAATCTTATAGGAGTTTCTAGGTTATATAATCTGCCATTAGTTTACACCTATCGTGAATCATTACTTTTGACCTGAGAATTTAGTTCATCCTAGATGGTTCATATTAGTTGGTAACGTGTGATAGAATTCTCTAACCATAAAGAAGAGAAAAGGCTAAATTAGGGTGCCTAGTATGGGGTTTTGGGGCATCCCCAGGCTGGTTTTTTTGCTGGTTTTGGGAGAATATGCAACCATGATCATATCCCTCCTGTTGCGCTTCAATTCGCAAGTACTGCAAGAAGGAAAATTTAGTGGGACCGCAGCAGGTTATGGGTGTAAGATGGGGACTACCAGGCGATGGGGGGGGGGGGGCATGTAAGCGATAAAACAATTATGTAAGGTAATGAGACCAAGGGTAACTTCTAGTGGTTCCTCCTAGGAGCCCCTGGGCATGACAACACAAAATGTGACTCCCTTTGACTTCTATCAGGATTAACATCGACTGTTGTTATGCTTGTGGTTGTGTTGCCGAATACATTGCTACGGTGACTCTGCATGAACAACGTGGGGGCGCTTCCATGTAGGTAAGTCTGCAGCCACGCAATTGCTTCAACTTTGAGAAGAAGCCAACTCACATTCACGTACTACGTGACCTATCCTCACAGGACGTGCCCATTCGGGCATGAGTTCCAGGAAGAGCCGTCCGCCTAATTGTATTGTAAGCTGCCCAAGGTGAAAGTTCAACAGTCACCCAGCCGCCTTCAGAGACGGACAGCGACAGCGGCACCTTTTGTCTTCTAAGGACGCCGGGGGCAAGTCTGTAAGGAAGAACTCATCCCGCCTGATCACCGTTCGAGGCTTGCGGGCTTGTGGTTTTGCAATTCAGTATGAATGACAACGGCAGTATCAAAAAACTACGATGATGAGTCTCAAAAGAAAAATCAGCGGTCTACTGCAGTAAATGATTCATGCCGCCTAACACCAAACCCAAAACCCCAACCCAAAACCTGGAACCCATAAAACTAAACCTAAAAAATCCCAAACCCTACAAACCCTGAGTTTCTTTCCAACTCCCGGCCAGAGTCCCGAGCGGCGCACATGCACGTCGCTCCAACACCCAAAAGCCAAGAGCAAAAGCAAGCAGAGTAGCAACCTCTGCAACTGGTTTGGGTTCCGGTTATATCGGGGTTGTACTGGGATTATACTTGGGATAATGGAAAATAAAATGGAAGCTACTATTTAGGATTTAGGGTTTAATGATATGGTGACTGTTTTGGGGTTGATGACTTCGTAAGGTGTTTCGGCTTTTTTTGGTTTGAGGCTTCGCGAATTACGGTTCTAGGCGTGAGGATTTAAGGTTTCTGACTTCGCAGACAGATTTCAGTATCACCGCGATGACTCTAGAAGACCTGATGGTGTCGCACACGTAGGACCATGAAGGATGTTGTCCCTACGCGATAGCTGCAGTGCTTGCATTGGTATTGCAGAGATGGCAGAGATATAAACGAAAGAACGAAACAGATGGGAGATACGAGTTCAAGTTGCTCTAGGACTTTCAGTCATGTCCAACGTGGCTTCATGTAGAATTTGTATATGGGGTTGCAAAGGCTAGCCGCAGTATGGGCTTGCCGTTCACTACAGGGGCTGCAATCCCAAACCCTTCCTCCCCAAACCCTTCCGCGCTTCCGGCCCTGAGACTTGAAATCTGGACCCTAGGTCCCAAGCCCTTAGCCTCTAAACTCCATAAAATGAACTCAGCCGCAGCCAGAGGCCCAGGGCCGGCGGCCGGTGCCACCAGCCTGAACTTTACACTTTCGGGCTCAGCGTTCGGAGCTCAGATTGGCTCTCACGTATAGGGGCCAGGGTTTCTTCTTTGTTTATCGGACCTTCCTATAACCGGCGATCCGGTTGAAAGGTCATCCGGCCAGGCCACTGGGCTTAAGGCGTCGGACTTTGGCATTAGGGCTTTGGATTTGGGATTAGGGCTCAGGGTTTCAGTTGCATTAAGGGTCTTGCGTCTAAGGCTGACTGTGGCCTTTCGTACAACGAGAAGAATCACCAGCTAGCTGATACGGCAATGGCACGGATTCTGTAACAGTGTCAATTTTGGCACTGACACTCAATCATCCAAAACTAGCAAACCTAAACCAGTAGCAAGCAACCTGTCCTCCTTAATCAGAAGTCATAAGTCATGAGGCTTACCATGCCCTGAACTAGGAAGCCGTGACGTGATCCTGATACACCGAACAAACTGCTTCCAGCCATGGGCTTAGCAAGGAAATAAAATGGAAGCTATTATACAATATTGGGCTTATATAGTGGTATTATAGAGCATATTGGGATAATGGACAAGAAACTGGAAGCTGCTATACTAATTGTTCTTAGTCACAACGATGACAAGTCGTCCATCTCAGGGAGCATAAACTGGGTCTATCCACTTTTAACCCTGAACCCTAAACTCCAATTCTAAAACATCAAGTCCTAAACCCCACCCTCTACACGCCAAAACGCAAACCCTACCTCCACCCCCCTAAACTCCGAACCCTGAACCCACATCGTAAACACGGCGGAAACCTTTTTTTGTTTTTTTTGCTTAGCCGTGGCTGTAAACTTTTTGAATTCCGTTTTGCTTAGCCGTGGCTGTCTCGGCCACGGCTAAGCAAAAAAACACCTTCAACCTCGAGAGGAGCGCTTGTTTTGCTTAGCCCTCCCTTGCAGCCAGGGCTGAGATAAAAAAAAACACCTCCAACCTTGGCAGGAGCGCTTGTTTTGCTTAGCCGTGGCTGTGAGATTCCCTCAGGAAATCTCATTTTTTTCTCCACATTTATTCCAAAGAATACCTCTATTTTCGTTATGTTTCCAGAGGAATACCTACCATTTTCTTGATATTTACACCTTTGTTTTTTCTGTATTTATATGGATTAACCTGCATTCTCTCCGTATTTACCATAGTAATGTTCTCTATAGCCCCATCGGAGAGACCTGTATTTTCCCTACGTTTACACAGGCAAACCGTTTTTTTTTTACATTTCCATAGGATATCTTTGTTTTCTCTATATTCACAAAGGAAATCATTCTTGTTTTTGTTATCTTTGTTTTTGATATATATTTCCGTAGGAAAACCTTTATTCTCTTTCTATTTACATAGGAAAACGTCTGTCTCTCTATGTTTCTATAGGATAACCTGTCTTTTGCCTATATTTACATAGCAAAAACCGCGATTGTTGTTGTATTTCCCTAGTAAAACTTCTATTTTCTCTACGTTTATGTAGGAAAACGTTTGTTTGTCGAAATTTACATAGGGTTGACCCCATTTGCAAACACAATGGTCGCATGATGGGTTTCACCCATATACAAAAGATTGAAGCACGCTTGCACGTCGCAAAAAGGCGGTGGGTTGGGGAGGGGGGGGGGGGG